ACTGGTTTGGGGAATGACAGCAGATGACAAAAGCGGCCCCAGCATAGAGCAACACCATATTTATGGCCTTACGGTTTCCTGCCAAGAGGTCCGATGTCAGGCTAATGCCCCAGCCGTAGTCCCTGATTAAGTCTTCCAGCCCATGATTCCTAGTCAAAATTTCTTTCTCTCCCTTCTCCATTCCTACACCCCCAGGCTCTTCTGCCCTGAGTCTATATGCTTCTTTCTTTACTCAAGTCCCACCCTGAGCCCCGAACGTCTTTATGGGAGAGCGTTCTGGTTGCTTAGATGCTAAGTACTGATACTTAGAGAGCATTCTGGTTACTTAGCAAATACAGTCTAGAAGAAAAGAAAGGGCTGATATTATACTGGGTTGGCCAGAGGGTTCGTTTGGGTTTTTCCACATCATCTTATGGAAAATGCTGAGTGAACTTTTTGGCCAACCCAATAGAAGTTCAACCTCCCCAGATTCAAGGGGCTGTGGAAAAAGAACATGTTTATTTATAATGTGTTTAAGGCTGCTGGGGAATAGGGGAGGAAAGCATTTTAAAATGCTTTATTTTTCTATCATGAAACGTTTCAGGCCAACAGAAACGTATAGAGAATAATTTTTTAAAAAACATGTATCCACTATTCATCTTTGTCAAATCTTAATTTTTGTCAGATCTGCTTCTGATTTTTTAAGAAATAAACCACTACAGACAGTTGACGCTTCCAGTGTTCCTCTCTCCAATGTTACTCCTCTCCTTTCGAATGTGTGTACCCTACACTTGACTGTGTTTACAGTTTTACCTCATTTGTAAACACCCCTCAACAACAGAGATTACTGTTTTGTGCAGGTTTAATACTTCATATAAACTGTATTTTTGTATGTATATTCTTCTGATCCTTTTTGTTCAATGTTGGTTTTTGAGATTCATTGATCTTATACATATGGCTTTACTTGACTCATTTTTAACTGCAATGTAGTATTCTATTGTGCAAATACACTCAACATAGTTACCCAATCACACTGATAGACATTTAGAATATTTTTAACTTTTCATGCATCAATGCTGCAATAGACATTCTTGTATAGGTCTATTTATGACCAATATATTTGGATTCCTTATTTTTTTTAATTGAAGTATAGTTGGTTACAATGTTGTATATGGATTTATTTCTACTGCTGCATTTTGTGCTCTGTATTTACTCCTTATTTTCTATATTCCTGTTTCTCTTCCCTGCCTGGATTTAACAGATTTTATTCCATTTCCAGTAGCTACTCTCCTGACTGGAAGGGTATACATTCTATTTGTTATTTCTATAACAGATGACATCACCCTTGTGGCAGAAAGTGAAGAGGAACTAAAGAGCCTCTTGATGAAAGTGAAAGAGGAGAGTGAAAAAGTTGGCTTAAAATTCAACATTCAAAAAACTAAGAAAAAAAAAAAAACTAAGCTCATGGCATCCAGTCCCATCACTCTATGGCAAATAGATAGAGAAATAATGGAAACAGTGACAGACTTTATTTTCTTGGGCTCCAAAATCACTGCAGATGGTGACTGCAGCCATGAAGTTAAAGGACGCTTGCTCCTTGGAAGAAAAGTTATGACCAACCTAGACAGCATATTAAAAAGCAGAGACATTACTTTGCCAACAAAGGTGTGTCTAGTCAAAGCTATGGTTTTTCCAGTAGTTATGTATGGATGTGAGAGAGGGACTCTAAAGAAAGCTGAGCGCCGAAGAATTGCCGCTTTCAAACTGTAGTGTTGGGAGAAGACTCTTGAGAGTCCCTTGGACTGCAAAGAGATCCAACCAGTCAATCCTAAAGGAAATCAGTCCTGAATATTCATTGGAAGGACTGATGCTGAAGCTGAAACTCCAATACTTTGGCCACCTGATGCAAAGAGCTGACTCATTTGAAAGACCCTGATGCTGGGAAAGATTGAAGGCAGGAGGAAAAGGGGATGACAGAGGATGAGATGGTTGGATGGCATCACTGACTCTATGGACATGAGTTTGAGCAAGCTCTGGGAGTTGGTGATGGACAGGGAAGCCTGGTGTAGTGCAGTCCATGGGGTCGCAAAGAGTCGGACATGACTGAGCAACTGAAGTGACTTAGACGTAAAGACTTCTATTTGTTCCCCACATTCTCTTCTCCCCCTATTTGTCATATAGGTAGAAGGTCTGACTTTTAACAGAGCACATGGTTATCTAGAATAAAGACTACACTTTCCAATCTTCTCGGTGGCGGGATATAACCACATGAATAAGTGGCCAATGGGATGTGAGTGGAAGGAATGAAGGCAGCCTTTGGGTCATGCTCTCAAAGGCAAGGGACTGGAATGTGGACATGAGGGTGAACCACCTTCAAACATGCGCAGACCTCCCCGCAGAGCTAGGCTGCTTATGTCTGGAATGTCACATGAAAAGGAATGGGTTTTTTAAACACATGTACTGCCTGGCTCATCCTGTTTCCTAAATCTGAGGCTTCAGGTCTTTCATCAACTTTGGAAACTTTAAAGGCATTATCTCTTGAAGTCATGCCTCTCTTCTCCACTTCTGGAATCCTCAAAAAGGATCTTGTCATTCTGGCATCCACGTCTTAGCCTGTGTCTTCATCTCTCTGTGTTGCCCTGGGTTGAGTCTGGGTTATGTCCTCAGCTCCATCTTTCCATTCCTGAAGTCTTTGTCATGCGGCGCCTTATCTGATGTTAATCTAGCCACTGAGTATTTAATTTCAGTGCAAATATTTTTCATGTCTAGCAGTCCTATTTGGTTCTTTTTCTGATCTTTTTGGATGATGTCCTGTCTTCGTCTTATATTTTCAATTACTTTATTATGTCTTCATTAGTTTTATTTTGGGGGGGGCACTCTGAGTGGCTTGTGGGATCTTAGTTCCCCGAGCAGGGACTGAACCTGGGTCCTCAGAAGTGAAAGTATGCAGTCCTAACCACTGGCTGCCAGGGAATTCCCTTAAGGAGTTTTGAATTCATGGACTTTATAGTGTCTTGCCAACAGTTCTTAGAACAGTTGGAACAACAGTTATTAGAAATTCTTGCGGGGGAGATTGAGTCCAGTTTGTTGCATACATGGACTCACTCACTGTGGGCTATTCTCTCAAGTATTTAGTCATTGTGGATCATATATTCATTTTCACTAAGGACTTTCCTTTTTCCTGTGTAGGCAGACATTTGTGTCCTTGCCTGAGAGGTAAAGGGACGTGCCCTCAGTCACAAAGCTAAACAGTGGCAGAGCCAGGTGGTCTGGATCCAAAGCCTGGGTCCTCGTCACCAGCAAGCAGGCTGCCTTCCAGAGTTCACACTCTTAACAGAGGGTGAGCAGCAGGGTGGAGATATCCATTCTCCTCTCCTAAAATATCCGGGGGACCTTCAAAATGGCAGAGGAGTAACATGTGGCGAGCACCTTCCTCCCCACAAATATATCAAAAATACATCTGCATGTGGAACAACTCTCCTAAAATATCTTCTTTCTCACACTGAGAAAGAAGTGTTAGGAGAATAATAGTACCCCCACTGCAGACACACATGACTCAAGAAGTGATGCAAGACCAAGAAGATTTGTAGCATTTCTTTGGTGTGTTATAGGGAGATACAGAGTGGGAAAGAATGCCAGATGACGGATTAGTAAATTGCTTAGATTTTGATCTTTGAAAAAAAAAAAACTACCCGGGTTTTATTTTATAAGTGTGGAAAATACCTTATTAAAAGTTCACCTTCCTTGTATTACTAGTTTTGATTTGCATTTCTTTAATAATGAGCAATTTGAGCATCTTTTCATGTGTTTATTAGCTGTCTGTATGTCTTCTTTGGAGAAATGTCTGTTTAGGTCTTCTGCCTACTTTTTGACTGGGTTGTTTTTCTGGTATTGAGCTTCATGAGCTGCCTGCATATTTTGGAGAGGGGTGGGATGGGGTGGGAAGTGGGGGAAATTCAAGAGGGAAAGTGAAAGTCGCTCAGTCATGTTTGACTCTTGGAGACCCCATGGACTATACAGTCCATGGAATTCTCCAGGCCAGAATACTGGAGTGGGTAGCCATTCCCTTCTCCAGGGGATCTTCCCAACCCAGGGATCAAACCCAAGCCTCCTGCATTGCAGGCAGATTCGTTACCGCTGAGCCAAAAGGGAAACCCAAGAATGCTGGAGTGGGTAGCCTATCCCTTCTCCAGTGGATCTTCCCGACTATAATTGAACCGGGGTCTCCCGCATTGAAGGCAAATTTTTCACCAACTGAGCTATTGGGGAAGCCCTTTCAAGAGGGAGGGGACCTATGTATACCTATGGTTGATTCATGTTGATGTATGGCAGAAACCAACACAATATTGTAAAGCAATTATCTTCCAATCAGAAATAAATTTTTTTTTTTTAAAGTTCACCTTACTGCAACAGGTACTAAATAAGCCCTAGAGATCAAATGTACAGTATAATGAATATAGACAACAATATTGTACCCTAGGGCTTCCCTGGGAGCTCAAATGTAAAGAATACACCAGCAATGCAGGAGACCCGGGTTCAATCCCTGGGTTGGGAAGATCCCCTGGAGAAGGGAATGGCTACCCACTCGAGTATTCTTGCCTGGAAAATTCCATGGACAGAGGAGCCTGGCGGGCTACAGTCCACGGGGTCTCAAAGAGTTGCACATGACTGAGTGACTAACACTTTCCCTTTTCATTGTACTATAATCATCAAACTTGCTGAGACTGGAACACAATTATTCCAACCACTAAAAAGAAATGATAATTATGTAATATGATAGACAAGCTAATTATTGCTGCAATGGTGATCATATTATAATATATAAATGGATCAAATTAACATGTTGTACACCTTGAACTACACAATGTTATATGTCAAATATATTTCAGTCAATCAACCAATCAATCAAACCTCTAAAAAACAAAAAATGAAAAGAAAAAGAAAGTTGGCCTTCTCCAGCTCTCCTCTCTGACAGTGATTTCTGCAGGGACCTTAGAGACTACCTGCTCCCCAGGACTCACCTTGTCGGCCAGCAGCTCTCTGATCTTGCTGGCCTGCAGTCGGAACCGGAAAAGTTGGGTTTCTAGAGCCAGGTAGCGCTTCTGCCAGTCCACACTGGTCCGCGTCTCCACCGTGAGTTCTGCCATGATGGGAACAACTTGTGGGGATTCCAGGGAGCCCTGAGGACCAGCATACAGAGAGGGAAAAAGATAAGTGTGTGAGGAGGAGTTCGGTGGGGAAAGGGCGGGGAAGGTAAGTGAGCCTGGCTCTCCCTCCGTCGCACCGGCAAGTTCTGAGCCCAGCTGGTCCTGTTTCATCATAAGGCAGCTGTGCAACCTTTGCGAAAAATCGCAAAACCTGAGAAACCGCAAGGAGAACCTCGTCTCCTATTACAGAAGTGAAAAGCAGGGCTCATTGGTTTTTCATTGAATTATCCATTTAACAAAAATGTGTTCATTCAACAAAACATTCAGTGCCAGACAATGTTCTAGACATTGGAGATGCAAAGGGAAATGAAAGAGCTCCCCGTGTCTTTTCAAACAACTCTTTGGAAAAGTCTAATTGCAAAATTACAATGTAGTCACAATTACTAATCAATATGCAAATAAAAGGAAGTAGAGAAATGGAGAGGACTGTGCTAGGGGGAGGGTGTTTAGGGAAAGCTTAAACTGGGTAACGGATTCATCCATGATCCCAAGACTAACTGGAGATAGAACCGTGGTTCCCAGTTGGGTACTGCTTTTTCACAACTATAAAGATTTCAGATGGGGAAAAAAAAAAATGGAATGAAAATGTAATGCTTCAAATTTCCTTGACAAGTTTCTATTCAGTTGGGATTTCATATGTTGTCATCAAATCATCCTGTTTCAGAACAGATTCTCACTTTCCTTTAAGTTATAAAATGCAAACCAGAAAATTGGTAGATACTTTGCTGTAGCCTCTGGAGGAAACCGTGGGCTTCCCAGGTAGCTCAGCTGTAAAGAACCCACCTGCCAATGCAGGAGACACAGGAGACACAGGTTCGATCCCTGGGTTGGGAAGATCCCCTGAAGGAGGAAATGGCAACCCATTCCAGTATCCTTGCTGTGGAAAATCCCATGGGCAGAGAAGCCTAGCAGGCTACGGTCCACAGGGTTGCAAAGAGCTGGACACGACTGAGCGACTAAGCAGGCACACACACTGGAGGAAACCACAGACCTTTAGAAAACACTTCAGTCAGATTCACAACAAGCCAAGTAGACACCTAGAATATCCCCAGCCAGGGGAATTTACCCAGATGTCTCCTGGATGTATTTTAGAGAAACAAACCTGGGTCAGGGACGAGAAGATGAAGAAGAATGTGTAAGTGTGCATGAGAAGGGAGATATAGGTGCAGAGGGGGCACAGAGAAGGGCTGGAGACATATCCATCACCAGGCCTTTTAAAATCCCCTTTCTAGGGAGCTTTTAATAATTATGCTTGACAATAAGCATAAATTTGGTCGGTCCCAAACCATGACATATGGTCTCCCTGCTATCAGGTGATTTTAAAGAATGATTGTTAATTTTCCAGGTTGATAATTTTTTTTTTTTCATTAAAAAGTTGGGGGCGGGGGCTGTGCTGTGTAGCATGTAGGATCTTAGTTCCCTGACCAGGGATTGAACTTGTGCCCTCTGCAGTGGAAGCAAGAGTCTTAGGTTGATAATATATTTTAATGTTATCTTTTAGAGATGGATATGGCTTACAGGTGAAATGATGTAATGCCTGGGATTTGCTTTAAAACACTTCACCATAGGAGGTGAGAAGCTGGGGTGGAGAGAGATATATGCAATGAGACTTGTCAAAACACTGATAATTTCTGAAACTGGGTGATGGGTATACTGGTCTCTCTACTTGAATACATGCCTGGAATTTCCCATAATAAAAATTTGTCTTTAGAGAACAGACTTGTGGTTGTCAAAGGGTGTGGGGGAGAGATGGACTGGGAATTTGGGATAAGCAGATGAAAACTATTACATTTAGAATGGATAAACAACAAGGTCCTACTGTATAGCACAGGGAACTATATCCAATCTCCTGGGACAAACCATAATGGAAAATGACATTAAAAAAGAAATGTATATATGTGTATAACTGAGTCACTTTGTTGTACAGCAGAAATTAGTACAACACTGTAAATCAACTATACTTCAATAAAAAAAGAGAGATGAAAAAATTTGTCATTTAAAAAAAATCTCTTTTCCCTTCTTCAGGAGACACATGGTCTCAGAAAACCCAGCCACCTCCTGTATGTCACTAAATACTACCCTGGGGCACCAGTGAGCCTGTCCTTGGTAGGTTCACCACCAATATTGCCTCCCACCTGACATGTGACCTCTACAATATCTTTCTCCCATTATACACCACAAAGAGCTATTACCTATTGAGTCCTCACTGTACACCAGGCACAAGTGGCCTCTTTCATTTTCACGAGAACCCATGAGACAAGGAGTGGGCATTAACCCACACTCTCAGGTGAGGACTCTGAGGAACAGAGTCTGTGGCCGGCAAGCAGTAGGGCTGAGATTCTCATTCTAAAGTGCCCACTCAGCCACTGAGCTCCTTACCCATCCAAAAACTGCAAGAATTGATTTCACAAAGAGTGGAATGGAGAAGACTTCCCTGGTGGTCAGTGGTTAAGACTCCAGGTTCCCAATGCAGGGGGCCCGGATTCTAGCCCTGGTCAGGGAACTAGATCCCACACGCCACAGCCAAAGATCCTGCATGCTGCAACTAAACCTTGGCACCGCCAAATAAATATTAAAAAAATTAATAAAAGTGTTCACTGTTTTTAAAAAAAGAGTGGAGGAGACTGTTAAGAATGAAACATTTTATAGGCTCTCTCCAGATTTTCAGTGCAAACCTGAACCTACACCCTAGACTTCCCAGGGCACCCTGGTCTCAAATATTCTGACCCTTTAACCTCCATAAGCAAGGATATTTGTCATGTGCCCTTTCTGTTTAAAAAACAGGCTCAGTAGACCTGTAGAGAAAGGCCCAACAATGAAACCACTGATGGGTCAGGTGATGGAGTCTTTCGGTTCTGGGCGGCTCAGAACACTGGACACATGACCTCAGTCCTGCGCTCCCAGAACTGTCATCCCAAACAATTCGACATTGTGACCTCCCAGCGATCCCCACCTCAAAAGACTGGGACCAACTGGAACGGGCAGGAAGACAAAAGACAAAAACAAAACATGACCTTCTCTGAGCTAAGATCACAGCTGAAAAGACACAACAGAACCTTGTGGGGCCTCCATAGAAGGCCCAGAGGCTTCATGTTTAGTTTTCTTTGTCCTTTAAAGGGGATTTCACTTTCCCTGCCTAAGTACAAAAAGTGGCAGACCCGAAGTTAGGACCTTGGAGTCTTGCAACCTAGCCGGGGGCTAAGAATTAGCAGTAAAAGCACCCAAGTAAAACCAAAGGGCAGCAGAAACTCAATTCTTTTGTGTTGTTTAAAAAAAGTTTGGTGAATGTTAACTCCCTCTTACTGATTGCCAAAGCTGCAGCTCAGATTCTGTTGGAGGGCAGAAACCCAAATTATCAAAATCTCCAGGGATTTTGGAAATAAACTATGTCATTGGCCTCTGCCTCATGGTGATACCTGAGATTATACCTAGTCTGGAAGGAGTTCTTTCCCCAATCCAGCATCTTCATGTCATCGTGGTTTTTAGAAGTGCTCAGCTTAATCCTCTCCCTGCCTTGGGGATGCTGGTGAAGGAGCTGGCAATCTTGTTAGGCTTGTCTCAGCATGTGAGTGGAACTAAAAGGTTTCTAAATGGATCTGGAGCAAGGTGCCTGCTGTGAAACCAAGACCCAGAGGCTCTTTCGACACAGGCAGGTGGCTGGAGCTGTAGCTTAAGTATACAGGATGTTAGGGGGAGATACCAGTAAGATGAACCTCAGCTGCTAAGTCACCTTGCATTTGAACCGCCCATAAAGATGTGCAAGGATAAGCAGAAATGAACTTGCAGAATGGTCCTTAACTCTTCAAAGCATTGTTTTGTCAGGTGTTATTTCTCTCGTTACCCTCTCAATATCCCCCAGACGGAGGACAAGTGATACATAATTCACATTGAACAGGTGAGCAAACTCCCCACATCAGTGACTTGCTCAGGGACACAGAGGCAAGTAGTATCAGAGCTGAGCTAAGAATCCTGATCTTGCAACATTCAGAACTGTTCTCTTTCATGAAGATGCTTTCATAGTGGCGGTACCAGGCTAGCCTAATGAAGATACAGCATTAATGTGCTGTGTTAGATGGGGAAATGACAGAAGATATGTGAGCTGGGGACAAACTCCAGCTCAATTGTTTGTTTCATGTTTTATCCTGGAAATCTTCAAACACACACAAGTAGGGAGGACAATACAACAAATCCCCATGTGCCATCTGGCCAGCTATAATGATCACCAACTCATAGTCGCTCTTGTGAAAGCTAGTTCTCGATTCCCACTAGCACCCAGCATGCTGAATGGCTTGGCAGGCAAGAGTCAAATGGTTGCCATGGCCTTGGCACCTGCTTTAGAACTCCGTAAGGCTCCCAGGACCCTGGCCTGACACGGCCACAGAGGTCTGCAGAGATATGCCTCAAGAGGCAGGGGCCATGGGTAGAAGGTGGTGAAAAGAGGCAAGAGGAAGTTGTTAGGTGACTTCAGTCTGTATCAGAGAAAACACAGACTTGACCTGGGATAGCTCTGGAAACTTTAGGGATATGGATCAGAAATGGACAAAATGTTGACAGTAAATTTAACTTAACCAACTTTTGTTAGGTGATTCCTATGTGTGAGGTTGGAGACACAAAGAAGAACAAAGACCCTGTGGTTTGTGAGGTTTCAGGTCTACAGTCTGAATATCCTGGAGCCTTCCTGCAAAGACGGCCAATCAGAGCAAGTGCCTCAAGGCACTGCAGGGGGCATCAGAAGATAACAGGGGCTACATTCTGGCGCAGTCTCCACTAGCCTCTCCTGGGTCACCACACTGTGGCTCACTCTCTGAGCGTGAGCACCTTCCATGATTCCCACTCACTAGCAGTGGGCTTCTGAAAGGGCTGTGCGGATGAGGCTGACCACCTGCCTAGCTCTGGGCAAGGAAAAGCTCCCTTTCTGGGGACGAAGCCGGAGGGAGGGTGAGTGCACACAGCGGCACAGCTCCCTCCGATCTGATCTCCCATGGTCATCTGATCAAGCCAACAACATGCATTTTTACCTCTTTTGGGTGCTGAGTGAGCATCCCATTTCACAATGGTGGGAGAGTCAGGAAAAGGTGAGCATGTTACAGACTTCTGGGACATAAATCCCAAAAGGGGCTAAGAGATCCAGGAATATAGCATCCCTCAGACAAAAACCAACAAAGAGAAATGGCAGAGTGCAGTACTTAAGATCCTGAATTTTGGCACCAAACAGACCTGAGTTTGAATACTGACTCAAGAATGAACTGTGACGTTCAACCATCTGCTTGACTTCTCTGAACCTATTTGAAATTGAAGGCAATAATATTTGAAAGGAGCATAATAATATTAGTTCAAACCATGTGAAACTGTCAACACTTAACCATTTTTTGACTTCCAAAATTGGCAATTTCATAGGCCACACTATGTTGGATTTTTTTGAGAATCAAAGGAGGTATTATAACACAAAAGCCTGGCACACAGGAAGTACTCAATAAAAAACAGCTATTATCAACAAACAAGAGGCAAACCAACAGTGCCCTGGGCATACCTGGAGATGTGTTCACCACCATGATCAGAGAACAGGTCAGGAGATTTTTAAAATTCTTTTATCTCAGGACTTCCCTGACGGTCCAGTGGTTAAGACTCTGGGTTTCCAATGCAAGGGGCATGGGTTCAATCTCTGGTCAGAGAACTAAGATCCCACATGCTGTGCAGCGTGGCCAAATAAAAAAATTATTTACCTCTTTGTTTTTGAATACTAAGCAAAAGAGTATATGGTACAAAGTAAGGCTTCTTCCCACCCCTGAACTCCAGGCATAGCTTTCCCCAGAGGCAACCACTGTTAGGAGGATTTGAGTCTTTCTGAGATGTTCCCTGCATATACAAGTGTCCATATGTGTGTTGCACACACATACACACAAGCAGATGGTGGCACACCATACACACTGTACTAAATATAACTCAGAGAGCTTCCTATACGTGTGTGTGTGTGTGTGTGTGTGTGTGCATGCATGCTCACTCAGTCTGACTCTTTGCAACCCCATGGAATGCAGCCCACCAGATTCCTCTGTCCATGGGATTTTCCCAGCAAGTACTGAGTGGGTTGCCATTTCCTCCTCCAGGGGATCTTCCTGACTCAGGGATCAAACCCATGTCTCCTGCGTCTCCTGCATTGCAGGTGGATTCTTTACCACTGCGCCACCGGAGAAAAAGTGTGCATATATAATAATATATACCTGCCCCGTTCTTCCCTCATGCTTTTTAAGAGGTATATTGTATTCTCTTGTGTGGCTATTACATGATTTCATTTGAGTCCCCAATTGACAGACACTTGGGTTGTTATAAACATTTCATTAAAACAATGCTGCAATGAATATTCAATGAATAGACATTATTTCATATTTCATTATTTCATACACATGTATGAAATATAGTTTATCTCAAGGATAAAGCCTCAGAAATGGAACTGGACTGCTGAGTGATGTACATTTTGCAATGGCCAAAGAGTTCCAACTGCTCTCCCCTGAGGCTATTCTAATTCATATTCCAGTCAGCAATAAGTACCAATTTCCCCACAGAGGTGGTCAATTTTTAATTCGTTTTTGACAGAAGGGTTTGCCAGAGAACACAGGATGGTGGCTCACTGGCCAGACTGCCATGGAGTCACTTGGATCAGTAGTGAGGGGATCCTGACACCTCAGCGCCAGCATGAAGAACGCACTCTTCAACCCCCAGGGAGCACAGAGTTCTGCACAGTTACACAGCCTCGCATGGGGCTTCCCTGATGGCTCAGGAAGTAAAGAATCTGCCTGCAATGTGGGAGATCTGGGTTTGATCCCTGGGTCAGACAGATCCCCTGGAGAAGGAACTGGCAACCCACTCCAGTATTCTTGCCAGGAGAATCCCACGGACAGAGGAGCCTGGCAGGCTACAGTCCATGGGGTCCGAGAGTCAGACACGACTAAGCAATACACACACACACAGCCTCACAGAGAGAAGACGGGAACAGTATGGAGCACTCCTCTGCGAGCAGGGACCTCTTCCCGTAGCTGATGCCTTCCGGAGAGGGCAGAAGGGGTGCCAGAGGCATTTTCTCAGCGCACTTGTTAGTTTCAATGAGTAACCCAGCTCTGAACAGGCCCGCTCAGCAGCCTGTGGAGAAGGAGGGTGATGAACAGCAATGTAAATGCAGTTTAAGAGGCTTCCGTTTGAGTCTTGCCTCCTCCACTTTTCAGTTATGTGACCTTGGGCAAGTCACTGTTTTTCTGAGTCCTAGTTTCCTCCTTTATAAGACCGAGATAATATCACGCAGAAACACTCGAAGTGATGTTCTATAAAGAGTTAAGTGAAGTTACCATAGACACAACGTCTGCAGCATAGAAGACAGTCCAAAAAGTTTAAGGAAGGAGCAAATAACTTTTCCACTGAAATTGATATTAAAATGATCTTTTAAGCAGAAGTTTTAGCCAGAACTAAAGCTTTGTCCTGAGGTTTCATGAGGTGTATTCATAGCAAAAGCTTATTTGTCCCCTGGCAGGAACAGATCCAGAGCTTCCCTAGTGGCCCAGTTGGTGAAGACTCTGCCTGCGATGCAGGAGACTTCCCGCAACACTTAGGTTCCATCCCTGGGTGGGTAAAGATCCCCCGGAGAAGGAAATGGCAACCCAATCCAGTATTCTTGCCTGGGAAATCCTATGGACAGAGGAGCCTGGCAGGTTGCAGTCCATGGGGTCTCAAAAGAGTCGGACACGACTGAGAGACTAAACCACCAGGGACAGATCCAACAGAGAGCAGATCTACTTCCAAATGAGGGTCTTCACTGCCCCTGCCATGTCCATTAAGACCCCCTGCGCCCCGGCGACCGATTCCTCTCTAAGGCTCCTAGGACGCAAAGTTCCTGCTGTCATTTGGCGCCCGACTGGTTTTCTCTTCCGTTTGGCTGACCTGCCTCCATAAATCAAGCCTAATCCACCGGGACCCTAAGAGAACCACCCAGGAATCACAGAAGCGATAACCCGAGATGAGACCGGGAAGAAAGCGGGAGGACTTGAGAGCCTGCTAGAGCTCAGGCAACTCGGTGGAAAGCCTGCAGGTTCGCTCGGAGGGCCCTTCCCGGGAGCAACTGGATCGAGCCGGTCCCACACTCCGGATCCTCTCCAGGAACGCTACTCCTCTCCTGGCCGTGCCAGTTCCCCAAGCCCGACGCTCCGCTCCCAGCGCTCCTGGCTGCTAGGAGCTTGTTTCCAGGTAGGGAGGCACCTGCTCCGGAATCGCCCTCCGGCCAGAGGCAGCGGATCCTGTCTCAGTCTAACCAAACACCCTCCCCGGCCAGCGAACCCTCACTCCCACCCCCGCGCCCACCCCATCTCTGCCCGCGGGGCTCCCGGGGGCCGCTCACCTCCAGCCAGATCCCGGGCGTCCCCGCTGCGCACCCGGCACACGGGCGCCCCCCGCGAGCGTCCGCCGCTGACCTTGCGTCGATCTCTCCCGAGTCCGCCGCGGCCGCCGGGTCTCCGCTCCCCGGCAGCAGGGGTCGGCGTGGGCGGGGCGGGCCGGGCTGGCCCGGGAGGTTTGCCCGCCCTCTGGCTGCACAAAAGCCGAGCCGACCTCGCAGCGCCCCATTCAATACTCCGCCGCGCCCCCTCCCCGCCCGCTCCTTAGAGGCAGAGCGCCAGGCTTGGCTCGCGGGGCGGCTCGCGGAGAGGCGCAGGAAATGACCTCAGCAGGCTCCAGCCTCCCTCCTCTCGGCACCGCCGGGCTCGTCCCTGGGGCGGCGGGGACGGCGGCGGGGTCCCGCGGGCCGAGACGTGTCCCGAGCTCCGGCCCCGAGCTCTCTGCAGAGGCCGAATCAGCGGCCACCTGGGGCGGCCGGGGCGCCCCAGCATCTCCTCAGCTCCCAACCAGCCTGAGACCCTCCCTGGATGGGGCGCAAGACCAGACCCTCCCCCGTCCCTCCCCAAAAGGAGATTCCCGCATTGGCCGAACAACTTGCAGGAACCGTCACGCCTGGATATTTGGAGCAGAAATCCTTATTTCAAAAGAGTCTGTCCCATTGGGAGACCAAAGTTCTGATGTGTAATATGAAGGAAAAAACAAAACTCACCGCAGCCTAGAGGGTAACTTGCTTGCGTCCGTACGTCTGTATGTATGCATGCACGTTAATACGAGGAGCCGGCCGGCCGAGGAACCGGAAAGGCAAACAGGACGTCGCTTGCGCGGGCAGCTCACCGTGCACTCTTGCAGCCCCTGCACTCACCAATACAATCCTAAACCTGCGGGGGCGGGGAGGGGGGGTGGAGTACTCAGCTTTTAGTTAGGTGGATATGGGGTAAAGACGATGAATATGGAGAATATTGCAGGGAAGGATCCACGTTTCAGAATAGCTTTCTTCCCCAATCCGGCAGGCTCTCAGGCTAGTTCTGAACACAGGCAGACTCACCAGAGTTTCTCCCAAGGGGCTTTGAAAGTCTCATTCCAGGTGGTGGTGCCCCCGGCTGCACCCCACGTTTGAATCTGAGTGTCTGGAGGTTAGCCTGGAAAGTTGTGCGGTTAATAAGGCCTCCAGGTAAATCTCATGCACAACTTTGAGAGCCCAGACTCTGTGGAAAGCTGACTCATGTAGTTCAGGAGGCCACGGGTGAAAGTTCAACAGGGTTACTGGGACTTCATAAGCTTACACATGGATTCATACCTCCTGAGGATTGGAGTAGATCAACCCCAAACTGTGTGTGGGTAACTGGCCTCTGTCCCCTTCAAGACTGGAAATATTGCTAAGGAAGACCCAAAACAAGTCCTGTGGAGTTTGTCAAGGAGACTTCTTATGTTCATTCATGCATGCATTCACTCACTTTGAATAGGTAATCATTCACATAGTATAAATTTGAATTATTAATAATACCAAAGGGCTAACAATGAATAGTAAGTCTCCTTCCTCACCTGTCCCTGTCCCCTAGTGTGTGTGTATGCGTGTGTGTGCGTGTGTGTGTGTGCACTAAGTTGTGTTTGACTCTTTGCAACCTCATGGACTGCAGCACACCAGGCTTCCCTGTCCTTGGCCATTTCCCGGAGCTTGCTCAAACTCATGTCCATTGAGTCGATGATGCCATCCAACCATCCCATCCTCTGTCATCCCCTTCTCCTCCTGCCTTCTGTCTTTCCCAGCATCAGTCTTTTCAAATGAGTTGGCTCTTCACATCAGGTGGCCAAAGTATTGAAGCTTCAGATTCAGCCTCAGTCCTTCCAGTGAATATTCAGGATTGATTTCCTTTCGGATTGACTGGTTTGATCTCCTTTCAGTCCAGGGGACTCTCAAGAATCTTCTGCAACACCACAGTTCAAAAGCATCAGTTCTTCGGCGCTTAGCGTTTTTTATGGTCCAACTCTCTCTTTTTTTTTTTTTTTGGTCCAACTCTCTTATCCATACATGATTACTGGAAAAACCATAGCTTTGACTATGCGGGCCTTTGCTTTCTGCTATCTCTGCTTTTTAATAGGCTGTCTAGGTTGGTCATAATTTTTCTTCCAAGGAGCAAGCGTCTTTTAATTTCATGGCTGCAATCACCATCCACAGTGATTTTGGAGCCCCCAAAAATAAAGTCTGTCACTGTTTCCACTGTTTCCCCATCTATTTGCCATGAAGTGGTGGGACCAGATGCCATGATCTTCGTTTTTTGAATGTTGAGCTTTAAGCCAACTTTTTCACTCTCCTCTGTCACTTTCATCAAGAGGCTTTTTAGTTCCTCTTCACCTTCTGGCATAAGGGTGGTGTCATCTGCATATCTGAGATTACTGATGTTTCTCCTGGCAATCTTGATTCCAGCTTGTGCTTCATTCAGCCCAGCATTTTTCATGATGTACTCTGCATATAAGTTAAATAAGCAGGGTGACAATATACAGCCTTGACACACTCCTTTTCCAACTTTGAACCAGTCTGTTGTTCCATGTTCGGTTCTAACTACTGGTTATTATGATACATCACCATTAAAAGATATTACATAATTATTAACTATATTCATCACACTGTACATTTCATACTCATGACTCATTTATTTTGCAACTGGAAGTTTGTACCTCTTTATCTCCCTCACCTATTTCTTTCCTCTCCCCAATCTCTTCCCTCTGATAACCACCTGTTTGTTCTCTGTACCTATAAATCTGTTTGTGTTTTGTTATGTTTCTTCATTTGCCTTACTTTTTAAATGGTTCCCCAGCACGCCTAATGATGGATATTTAGAACATTTCCAGTCTTTGGCTATTATATACCTTGCTGCAGTGAATATCTCTATACCTATTTCTTGGTCCACATATGTGACTATCTTTATGGTTTAACACTTAGAAGTGGAATTGCTGGAGGTAAACACAATGTGAATTTTAAATTTCAATAGATGCTGTACACTGCCCTCAAAGGAGACTGCACCAACCAACACTTCTGTCGATGCATTTGAGTGCTCCTTTGTTCCCTCCCACCCATCATGATGAAGTGATTTATCACAAAACACAAATCTTTTAGGAAGGGAGGATGAAATGAGTTAAACACATGGATGATTTTAAAACACTGCCAGCACACAGAAAGGCTCAATAAAAGTGTTAGATGACGGAGTCCCAGCCACACTCCCCTGCAAGACCTCCCCTTCTTTGGGCTCTGTCTCAATCCCTGCTCTGTAAACTTGGGTGAGTTCCTTAGTCTCTCTGGGACTCAGTTTCCATATCTTTAATATGAGGATTGTAATGTCTCCCTCTGGAGTTGGTTTGAGGATTAAATCAGATATTAGAGTTACCTAAATTTTGCAACAATTAGAACTGGACATGGAACAACAGACTGGTTCCAAATAGGAAAAGGAGTACATCAAGGCTGTATATTGTCACCCTGCTTATTTAACTTATATGCAGAGTACATCATGAGAAACGCTGGGCTGGAAGAAGCACAAGCTGGAATCAAGATTGCCGGGAGAAATATCAATAACCTCAGATATGCAGATAACACCACCCTTATGGCAGAAAGTGAAGAAGAACTACAGAGCCTCTTGATGAAAGTGAAAGAGTGAAAAAGTTGACTTAAAGCTCAACATTCAGAAAACTAAGATCATGGCATCTGGTCCCATCACTTCATGGCAAATAGATGGGGAAACAGTGGTTGACTTTATTTTTGGGGGGCTCCAAAATCACTGCAGATGGTGATTGTAGCCATGAAATTAAAAGACGCTTACTCCTTGGAAGGAAAGTTATGACCAACCTAGACAGCATATTAAAAAGCAGAGACATTACTTTGCCAACAAACGTCCGTCTAGTCAAGGCTATGGTTTTTCCAGTGGTCATGTATGGATGTGAGAGTTGGACTGTGAAGAAAGCTGAGCACTGAAAAGTTGTTGATTTTGAACTGTGGTATTGGAGAAGACTCTTGAGAGTCCCTTGGACTGCAAGGAGATCCAACCAGTCCATCCTAAGGGACATCAGTCCTGGGTGTTCATTGGAAGAACTGATGCTGAAGCTGAAACTCCAGTACTTTGGCCACCTCATGTGAAGAGTTGACTCATTGGAAAAGACCTTGATACTGGGAGGGATTGGGGGCAGGAGAAGGGGACGACAGAGGACGAGATGGCTGGATGGCATCACCAACTCGATGGACATGGGTTTGCGTAAACTCCGGGAGCTGGTGATGGACAGGGAGGCCTGGCGTGCTGCGATTCGTGGGGTCGCAAAGAGTTGGATACGACTGAGTGACTGAACTGAACTGAACTGAAATTTTGAGATCCAATCATTGTTTGATAAGTGATGGCTATTCTTCTTCTCTTACTTCTGCTCCCCCCTCAACTTTTTATTATGAAAATTCCAGACCTAGAGAAGTTGCAAAAAACAGTATATTAAACACCCATATACTCTTCACTTAGACTTACCAATTGTTAACACACTGCTGTATTTACTTTCTCTCTCTCCATGTATATGTGTGTGTGTGTGGTGTGTGTGTGTGTGTGTGTGTGTATTTTCCATTTGAGACTTAGTTGTACACATCATGACCTTTTGTCCCTGGATACTTCAGGATGTTCCTGCTAAGAACAAGCATGTTTTCCTAATATCATCACACTTAGAAAATTTAGCATCAACACAATACTATCATTGACTGTACAGGCCATAAATTTCCCCAATTGTCCCAATATTGCCCTTTATAGCTCAGTTTTATAGCTCTTCTATTTACTATTACTAATCCCTACCTAGTACTCCCCAGGGTGAATGGTTGCCTGGAGGAAGATGGGCCTGTCCCCTCCTCCACTCCAGGGGAAAAAGTGACTCTCACAGCCTCAGACCCTGGCAGGTAATCAATAAACAGGCCGGCAGGAATGCTCACAAGCAGAGCAGTTTCCCATCTGATGCTACAGGTTGTCCCACCAGCCTTTGCTGCAGTTGCCTCCTCTGCCTGACCCCAGCCACCTCCATGATAGCAGCCCAGAGAGGTCCTGCCCACTGTCCCCCAACTCTGGATGGGTTCCTGCACCAGCCCCCTCATTGGTCCCCAATCATCAGAGACAGACTGTTCAGGCTCCAGTGAGGCTGGCTTCCCAGTGGCGCCCTCAGCCATAGCTCCCTGTGCCATGCCTCCCCAAGGATGGATTCTTCTGGACCTTAAGGCTGGCCTACGCCTAACTCAACTCTGAGATTCAGGGTTGGAATGTCTGAGACACTGTCTTTTTCCCACAGTCTTTTTGTCTTAAAGCTCTTTCTGGGACTTCCCTGGAGGTCCAGTGATGAGACTTGGCCTTCCAATGCAGGGGGTTTGGGAGGGGAGCTGAGATCCCGCATGTCTCTTGGCCAAAAAACCAAAACAGAAACAATAATGTAACAGATTCAATAAAGACTTTAAAAATGGCCCACGTTGAAATATTAACAACAAAAAAAAAGAAAAACACTTTTTGTGTAGCCCTCCATGGACTGAGACAAAGTCAAACCGTGGCTACCGCTGACTCAGTGGACAGTATCTGCTGATGCCTGTCCCTCTCTCCCACCCTTTCATTCATTCATTCATTTGCTCATTTGTGGTAGCTGACTTTCAAGTTTTTCCAGGGAATCTATTAGCTGCCCAGCTACAAGCTTGGATAAACTATCTCCTTGCTTCCTGCCTCAGTTTATCCTGTGATTTAGCAGCTGAACAACAGCAAAGTGGGGAAATTACTTCCTCTGCTCAGCTACCCTCTGGATCATGATATTTGAGAGTTGGAGGAAAAGGCTGGATTATGAGGGAGTCCCCACAGAAGAGGGGAACCTTTGAAAAACTGGGGCCAAAAAAATAATAAGTTGTGCTGGGCCAGTGCCATTGCGGGAGAGGCAGGAGAGCAGGTCTGGACGGAGCTGAGAGAGGGGCACTGAGTTTCCAGGCCCCCTGAAGGGCCCACGGAGAGATGGTACCCTCCACACCTAAAGCTTGTTTCTGCTTATCATTACAGGTGGCCTGACAGAACAGAGGAGAGGAGAAAGCCATCATGTTCCCGGAGATGAAGGCTCAGCTGGGCCACAGAAGCCAAAGGCCTCCTTTCTTCACTTTTCTGAGAGGAGGATGTGGCCTGGATAAGCACCCACTGTGAAGAGCTCTGAACCCATTTGGCCCTTTGGCGATAGTCAAGGTCTCCTGTTGGGCTGGGTAAAAAAGTTCGTTTGAGTTTTTCCGTATCATTGGACAGAAAACCTGAATGAACTTTTGGGCCAACCCAATATTTGCAGCCACTGGCAATGAGAGGTGAGTGGAGGCCACGTGTCCCCTTTCCATTGCTTCCTGCAGGTGGGGCATTAAATGTGGCCAAGGCCAGAACCTACCAAATGTACAAACATTACATTTTTTCAGCAAGCAGGCACCAGAAGCCCCACAACCTGCTTCACGGGACTTGGGGAGTTGGCCTGGTTTTGTTTTCACGTGTCTGTCACACGAGGGCCCGGATCATCTTTCTGACTACCTCTATATTTCGAAAGCCACTCATTTTACCAGTGAGAGATTATTTCTAGTATCCCTCAAACACATCCAGCCCGCTTGTGTAGCATTTAGTACAACAGACGTTGTGTAGTGTTTTGAAGTGTTTATGTAACTGTGCTGTAGAGTGTGGATTCCTTATTCGGGCACTTCAGATTCTAATTGACCACTCTAGGGGTGAGAGGAGAGTCTGCTCATATACACACACCACACTGTTTAGACTGAAAGAGTTAAAAAAGAAATTCCTCCAGAGTCAATACAACAGCATCCCAGGCTGTGCCTGGTTCCCTGGGCAGCACTGTGGAAGGGAATGGGAACCTTGGAACCAGCCAGGCCACAGTTCGAGTCCCAGCTTCACTACCTATGTGCTGATGTAACCTTGGGACAATTGCTAAGCTTTCAGAGTTAATTTTTCATTTGTAAAATGGTGATGACAATTCTTGCAACTTAGGCTTTTTGAGAGGGTTTGGTGAGATAGTACATGTCTGGCACTTAGCAAGTTGCTGTCTAAATGATAGCTTTTATTATGCATTCTTGAACAAATATTTGCTGGAGGTCTAATGTTTACTAGTTACCCTCCCACACCCCTCCCCTACTAGGTCCAGAAGTGTTATCTGCTTCCAAAGAATTCTCTTTGTTGTAAGATTGCAGCGCAGTAGTTAAGCAAGATAGCTTGGGAGACAGCAATAACTCTAGGAGAACTGGTGAAATGCTTGACAGTTTGTCCTCCCCATGTTCTGGGCTTTCCAGAGACCTCACTTCCCAACCCCACTTGTTTTGTCTGAGCAGGGTTCTGGGCTCCAAAGAGAGCCCTCCTGCTTCACAGAAACCTTATCAAATCAAAGCAACCCTTTTGCCTTCACAGCTTGATTTTCACTTACTATAAGGAGGAGAGTAAAGTGGGGGCAGAGGAGAGCAAAGAGGAGAAGGGGGGAAGGGCCTTAGAGTCTCAGGAGCTCTGGGGCCAGTCCCTGTCCAGCCTTTTGCTTCAGGAGCAGAGCTTGGTGGCTTTGGGGTTACAGAGAAATCAGGAGGCTATTTCTACTGATGAATCTCTGGGAGCAGCCAGAGCAATGATGGGCTGGGGTCACGGAGGCTCAGTCATCATCCAAATAGGGCTGGGAAGGCAGTGATGGGACATGCAGAGGGGTACAGGGCAGGAAGGACTTGAGATGGCCTAGAGGCAGAATTTGTGTGTGTGTGTGTGTGTGTGTGTTGGGGGAGTATCCTAAGATCGAATGTGGCTCCTTCTCTCATTTATTCATTCAGCTGCTCCCTAACAAATATTTAGGGAGCACTTCCTGTTTTCCAGGCACTGTTCGAGGAGACAAAGTGTGGCAAGTGGGATGGATGAACGCAGGACACGGGCTTCAGAAGCAGACATACCTGCTGTTAATCCACGCTTTTCCCAGTGGGGACCATGGGGAAGAACCGATGCAGTTACCGCTTGTGTCTCTGCAAATGATCCATCTGTCCAGGGCAGCAGTGGGCTCTGAAGCCAGAGAAAGCCAAGGGAGGATGCCCTTCTGCATTTGGAGGGCAGGGAGCAGGATTCTTACCTGCTCTGAGGAGTGGAGGTGAAGGTCTAGCCCCATCCTTGGCATATGATAGACACCTAACGAGTGTTGTTAAATGAGGAGTGAACATGAAGGTATAAAGGGGTAGAGGACTAGGAAGATATGCAAAAGCTAAAGACCTGACAACTATTAAGAGGCGTAGGTGACTGGGGGTGTGGAGGAGAAGGATTCCAACAAGAAGGTAGGCAGTGATTCTCCATCTAGCCTCTGATCACAAAATCCTGGGGGCACTTATTCAAAATATGCATTCGGGCCCTGACCTTTGGGATCAGCAGGCTCGGGGATGTGTATTTTTCTGCTGCTTAGGACCTGGATCCTGCTCAGTACCGACAGGTTTGTCATACATCATATTCCCACATTCCACTGATCTTCTCAGAGAGCAGCAACAGCCCGAGGGGACACAGGGTAAAACTGCTGTAATGACGACATTTATCAATGCAGAATAATCTGTCCAGTGTAGCTGAGGGCTCCCTAGGCAAGAAAGAGCCAGGAGGAGGGGGGCTAAGTAGGATGAAGGAGGAAATCAGAGAGAAGAGATGGCAGGGAGGGGGAAAGAGAAGCTAAATTTGGAGCTGACAGAGCTCAGGGCATGAGAATCTGGTAAATCCAGCCATCTAACTGGGATTCTATTGATAGATCATTTCAGAACTTGGAACATTGTGGTTTGAAAGCAGCTGTCTTTTTTCTCCTTCAACTTTCATCATAGATGAAAACAATGGCTGCTCACATCAGTGGGCAGGAGGGCCCGGGCAGGGGCCAAGTCCAAGTAGGCGGCAGGTGCTAGGGCAGCTTGGGTTCCCTTCTAAGCAGCTGCTTCTCTTGACTGGAAGAGGTCTATGGACTGAGGTGGGGATGGCCAGACAAGGCTGAGAGTTCCCTCTGCTTCAGGAAGACAGCATGACCCTGCAGGGCACCTTCCACGGTGTGGTTGCTGTTAAGAGCAGGCCAACACGCTCCCCAGAATTCACAGAGAAAGGAAGACCAGAGATACCTGAACGGATGAGAGGACAGAGCCACTGCAGCAGTTCCTCCGTTTCCGGGTGGTTTCGTGTGAAACCAGTAGGTCTCCCTTGATCAATCACACCTTTCCTTCCTGTGCTTCTGATCATCAGGCTCAGGCTCAGGGTTTTTTTATGAGAAGCGTCAGGGCTTGTATCCTATCAGAAGCTCTGATTGCCAACTCCTTTTTGCCAAGAGGGGTTAGTCCAGGCAACGTAACCTGTCTTCCATCTCAAAGTCCTGGGTGTGAGTCACTGCCTGCTAGGACGTTGGAGGCTATCTCTCAGCGCCATCTAGTGGTGGGCTTGGCTTATTTCCCGAAAAGACCCTGAGCCCGCGCATTCCTGCTTCTGGCCACACCTAGGGCTATATCCCTTCTGATCAAACCACTGCGGGCTTTGGACATTTTGACAAGTGATTCATGATGCTTCAAGCTCTGCCTAAAATGGAAACTTTAAATTCCATATCCTTTGTCCTTGTTCAGTTTTATATAGTTTTAGGGAAGGGGATTGGAGAATTTAGTGGTATTACAAGACTAGGGTGAAGTAGGGATAGATAGAAAGAACGTTCTCCTTTCCCCCAGTTGCGTGGCTCCAGCATGCACACACAGACCATCAGCTTGGCACGTATTCCAGGCATCTCTCACCCAGCTGTGCCATAGAGGAGGGCACAGGACAAGTCTCTTCTGCACAAAGTGCAAATTGAGCATTAAGAATCATCTCTGCTGTGCCACAGATAAAGAGATGGGACATGGAGCGGGAATCAGATGGCTTGACTCAGAATACTGATGGAATCCAGGCATGAACTGGGCTTTTCTCATGTAAAAGTGACATTTGGAGTTCTCAGAGAGGTCCTATGGACAGTGTACCTTTCCAAAAAGGAATATCCACACTTGCAGGTTCTCAATTTCCTGATCCGGTCCCAGAAGAGGAAGCACTAGTTCTTTCCCCCTTGCAGAATGGAGTCCACTCTAAGAATCAGGTAGTACCTACAGACAGGTCTTGTACATATGAAGGGAGGTGAGCAAGGGAGCAGAACACACAGGCTCCTAGGATGGGAAACCAACAGGCATTGCTCTAGGGGTGACATGTGACTGCTGCTCCTTCCAAACACTATGCATCGCCTCATTGGCCACTGGGGAAACATTCAGATAGCTTCTGGAATGGCCTGACCCTGCAAGAAGGAATCTCCCTGCAGGGCACAGGGAGTTGTGCTTACGTGGAAGCAGGATCTCTGGAACAAAGCCTCTCTTGGGAAGAACACGGTTCCTTTGGGAAGCAAGGTTTTAGTGTTGAAATAAATTCACTGGATATTCAGAATGAGAAATAACTCTAATAAACTTGCTACTTAAGGCAGTGCAATAGTCATGTACATATGTAGTAATGTACATAAGATTGGAAACCATTTATACAGGTGAGGATCACTAAATATTTTCTAAGACCTTTTCCTCCACTCCAAATTCCTGTTCTCAGTGACAGGGTTTTATGATTCTTGTGCCCTTCCTCAGGCTATATCATTCAGTAATTTTGTCATTAGGAGAAGGATGCTTCAAAGGACTGTGTTGCCCCAAATATTTATAGCAGCAATAATAGCAGAGTGAAGAAAAAAGGATACAACCTAAATGTTCATCACTTGGAACCTAGTAAATAAATTATTAAAATTCGTCTAGAAAATACAATACTATGCTGCCATTAAAATTTATGTTGAAGAATTGTTTTTACTGACATGGAACAAATTCATTATTAATGTCAAGTGAAACAATTTCCAGAAAAGTATGTATAACAGAATTTACTTTATGTAAAACTATATATATATGCTGTGCTTAGTCACTCAGTCATGTCCGACTCTTTGCGACCCCATGAACTATAGCCTGCCAGGCTCCCCTGTCCATGGAATTATCCAGGCAAGATTGGGGAGTGGGTAGCCAATTCCTTCTCCAGGAGATCTTCCTGACCCAGGGTTAGAACCTGCACCTCCTGTTCTCCTGTGTTGGCAGACAGATTGTTTACCACTGAGCCACCTGGGAAGCCTATATACACACACACACACATATGGTTGTATATATTTATACACCTATATATGTGTAAATTTATATATATAATTATATATTTGTTTTATTTATTAAATTATATTTTATTAAATATATAAAATATTATATTTTATATATTAAATTATATACATACCTATATATATATATATAACTATATGTAAATAAATATGAGTAGATGGCTCTTCCCCAAAACATTAATGGTGATTATCTGATTATATTTGGGTGTAGAAATCTGGTGTAATATGCCGGGAGCCAGCACACGAGATCCCACCTATGACAAGGTCATGAGGAGGAGGCCTGACAAGCAAGGCAGATCAGGACTTCAGGGATTTCGAAAAGCTGCCCCGGCGCTCACCTTAAAAATGGTCTCTGTCTTTCTGATGCTTGCTATATTAGACTACTCCCTAATTTCTGTGACACAGGCAGAAGGCCTTCCCCGATCTCTCTCCAAACAGAATCAACTTAGAACTTTAATCAACATGTCCCCTGGATGGTGGTATCCTATAAGATTATCCAGGATGAAAGGAGTGTTTCAATTTAGATCCCTTTGCTGGCATCCTAGCCTGCTTGGCAAATGCATATTAATGTAACACAAAAATATTATTTTAAAAGTGGTTAGAATTGTTCATTTTAACCAGCAATGCTAAGCAGGGGCTGCCTCACCGGAGCTGCAGAGTCTTTGTGTTGTAAACCTTTTAGATAAATTCAACTAATAACTTCTGCAAAAGGACTAACCTTTGTGTTCATTAAAGAATAGATTACAGGAAAACAGCTTTGCATTCACCTAGGTCATAAAATGTCAATAGGCCCCGAGGCCAGAAGATAATGTATAAGACACTCACAAAGAAGTTACTGTAAACACCCTGGTTTCCTGAGGGACAAGATGATGTAATGTTAAACTTTCTTCCCCTAAAAATGTACTAACTTAGAATATAAAGCTACAGTAAAAAATAAAGATTTGCCAGACTCTGCCAGACCCTGCAAACACCCCCGTCTGGTCATTCTCTCTCTCTCCCTCTCTTTGTCTCTCTCTCCCTTGCAGACTTGGCCCTATCAAGGCTGGTCTCACGTGTCTTCTCTCTCCTTTTCTCACCTACGCCGTTCATCCTGAGGGTACCTCTGGATCCTGCTGAGGCTGGACCCCGGCAGTAATATATTTTGTTTTTGTTCTTTTATATTATGTGAATGTTTTATAAGGAGTATAGATTATTTTTCTAATAAAGTTATTAAAATGTTTAAAAAACATGGATCTCATCAGTAAAGTATAAAGTTGAGATTCAGGGAAGTTGACAACTAACTCAAGGAAGCTACAATCTACCAGTCAAAGAACTTGCCTCATAACATCCCATTCTTCAAGTTTAATGCCAACTCACTTTCTCCAACTGGTGAAGATCCTGGGCAGGGGAACGACAGGGGGAGGAGCTGGGGACCAATGCTGAGATCAGAGGGGACTCACATGCTTTTGATATTGCCCGGATCCTGTTAGCTCTTCAGAGCAATTAAGCTATGCCCACAGCAGCATCACTGGATTCCTCCTATACACTATGTTCTTGTGGTCTGGAAGTCGTCCAGGTCTTGAAGGAGCAGACAGAAGTCTGAGGACAGAGTTAGGTTGGGTCTAGGTCTAACCCAAGCCCATTTTACATCCTGCAAGGGAAATGATGCATTCAGCCGTGGTGTCCACTTGAGGGAAGAAGGAATGTGAAGCTAGTGGGGTGTGGTCCAGAGGGTGGACTTTGTGAGCCTCTGGCTGGGAGCAGCATGGTGCATGATCTCAGGAAGAAAGTCTAGAGCCCCTGTTCCTTCCTTCTACGCTTCTCATTCCTCCACACCCACCTACGCTCACCCACGCTCCTTGACAGCAGCACCAGAGACACTCATGACCCTTCCTTCAACATTCTTAGAGTTTTGGGCCATCATTCAGTCCTTTCAGTTAAGCTAGAGGGTGGGATTCACTGGGTCCAGTGTCTTCCTACAAGATGAATTTGGATTTCAATAGTAAAAATGCTAGGATATGGGGTAGTGTTAACCTCCCATCATACAACTGCCCATAAGGACACTTACTAGGTTAAGATGAGGCCTGGAGCAACTATCTCCCTTCTTCTACGGTGCTAAGAACACACACGGTGGTCCATAACAAAGCACTCTTGTCCTCTGTGGTCTTTCTTTAAGTCATGGGGAACCTCACTATTTGTCCTTCCCTGTCCCTAGACCCCTCTGCTGTATTCTCCAGGGAGGTCACAGCTCTACACCTGACATCATTACTGCTCACAAGTATGGAAAAATCCCAGTAAAGATGACAATGCCCTGTCCCAAGTCTGTATCTTGCTGAAGGGCATAAACAAAAGCAAACTTTGACCTAGGTCACGGGCAAGAAAGAAAGGCAAAGAGTCTTTGACAGAAAGAAATGTACAAATTTGCAAATACTAGTCAATATTGAGCCAGTGCCTGAAAGTTGCTTTACAAATCAAGTGTGGTAGGGATAAGCTCCATCTTATTTTTTTTTCCACATTAGAACACTAATAATCACTGCCTTTCATCTCCAATTCAATGGACATGAGTTTAAGTAGACTCCGGGAGTTGGTGATGGACAGGGAGGCCTGGTGTGCTGCAGTCCATGGGGTTGCAAAGAGTCGGACACGACTGAGTGACTGAACTGCACTGAACTGAGATCCATGGGAGGGAGAAAATTTAAGTCCCTAGGAGCACGGGGTCTCTGTTAGAGACACTTGGGTAGTGTCCCCATATCCAAACACTTAGGTCTCAATCTTTTTACCTCCATGACCCTACTCCTCAACACAGCCCATGTACGTTAATAGTTGTTGAACTAAGTAACAATTTTCTTCAAATCAGGAGTCCAGTCCTCATGACAGCACAGTACCAGAGAAGAGATTAGATATAAAACTTATTAATTAGTGAGCATCTGAGACTACTGGGACACCTCACCTGAATTCATGTTCAAACAAGATGGAATCCCTGAGATCATCCACCCCTCAGGCTTGTGCAGCCCTTCCTAATGTGGCAGAGTTCTACAAGGGGCAGGACAAAGAGGGTAAAAAGAAATGATGCAGGTTATATCCTACCCTAGGTAGTATAGTCCCAACACCCCCACCCATCTACCCCCACTCTCACCCCCAAGCTGGGCTGCCTCTCAGTCAGCTCCTATAGGACAACTTCATTAACTCAAATCTTAAAAAAAAAAAAAAAAAAGACTATCCCACTCTAACCCATCTCAGGACCTAGTGGGACAAGGAATTGGGTCTTGGATGAGATGTTGCGATAGAAATTCTTAACCTATTAATGCTGCCAAGTCCCAAGCTATCCTTCTGCAATCAAAAATTTCAGGCTGAAACTCCTCTTTGAACTGATCTAGTGAAGTTGGGACAGACACACAGAGTCCCCCCCAGGCAGAAGGGCTTAGATAGCAGCATAAAAGCTTTTAGTTGCAAAGCCTTCTCTTAACCAGGCTTGCTTTAACAATACTCCTTTGTCCCTCCTCAGACGACTGAGCTCCTTGTATCCTGGCAGAGGGAGGCACGGAGGGGAGGTGACTAGCTTGGAGTTTGGTTTCTAATCTCCAGGGCAGAAATTCTTTCAAATTTGCCCAGCACCTGGGCTGACTGCTGAGTCGGAAATGAGAGCAGCTGGGGATGGGGACGGCTCTCCCCATGATTCCCAAGTTTCATAATCAACTCTAGCCTTCCCCTCCTCCAGTTTACCACCGTCACAGTTAAACTCGCACTTAACGACTATGAAGTTGTGTAGTTCCCATGTATGTTCATATTCTCGCTTTGATTTCTTTGAGCATTGGCCTTCCCCCACCCCTTAATTTACTGCTGGTTTCATGAACCTGCGCTCATTTTCTGGGCTATCAGTGTCCACACATTAATGTCTTAATGCTTTATGGATGAATTCAGATTATCACAGAATATAGTAAGTTCCTCATTTTCAGGCTCTAGGTGTTCATGAATACTGCATAGTTCTTATCCACTGCATTTTCTTTTTGATGACTGAAAAAAAAAAAAAGAGGACATGACTTTTAAAGATCCCTAAAGTAGGAACGTACATTATTTTGAGAGCTCGGTAAAAGTACACACACCCCTCTCCCACGTGGACATGTGAATAGAAAACCTTCTGATAAACCTGTAGTCAACTTCACCATTTCCCTGGGGCCTGATGCCTCCCAGCCCTCCGCTGGAACCACTTTCCCACCCCTCAGAAGTATTTAACAAACATTCAAGGACATCCTTAACGCATTGCGCCTGCTTTCCTATCACAGTTCATCCATTTCTGAGCACAGCTCATAGCTGTGCAAAGTCCCGAAAATCTTGGCCTGTCTCCAGCTCGATACCCACCCTAGAGCGAGCAATGATTTTAGTCAGCAATCTAGGCCTCCCTGTCCCAGTACTTTTCTCAGAGTTTCCTGCTACTTTCTGAAGCCTTCTTTGTTTCTCCCTTCACCTCCTCTCCTAACTGAGAACTTAATGGGGCCCCGAGTCAAGTGCAGATTCCCTGTGCCGCTTCCCCCATATACTGTGGACATCCCCTTTTCCGGGGCTGCCTAGCCTAGCAGCCTTTCTCTCCCTTGGGGTATCAACACTTCAACTTCTCTGTCTTCCTCTGAATTGTGATGTGGGGCGTTGGTGGAGCTTACATCAGGGTATCCTCCTGGCCTTACTCTGGCCGAGCAGTGGATACAAGACTCAACTTAGGTAAACTTAGCCAACTTAACACTTACACTTGAGCGATAAAAGTGATAAAAATAATTGAAGTCCCATTGTTCTGTCAGCAGAGCGCAGGAGGCCCTCAGTTACTCCCAATTCCCTGGGCTCCCAAGGCTGTCCTGGTCCTAGCCTCGTCAAGTCTGCTTTGCCAGCATTCCTTCCAAATCTATGAGCCATCTGATCGTATCCTGCTAATAAATTCCTTTTAGACAGCTAAAGTTGGGTTCTGTTACTTGCAACCAAAGAATCCTAAAAGTTCCAGCTTCATATTCCTTCCAGTTAGGCTCTTTATGCCTCTAAATTTAAGCCTCTTTCCTTCCTATTTGAAAAAAAGGCTGTTACAAACAGATTCCTCCTCCCACCCCATTTTCAGACTCCAGCAAATCTTGTCTTCCTCTCTTACTGCCTCGACCATGCCCGTATCTTCTGGTAAACAAGAAGTTTTCTGCCCTTCTGCTAAACACACCACCCGTAAAGCAGTAGCGCCTGTCTACCGTAAGTAATTTTCATAATGACGTTCAGAGAGAACAGGAAGCTTTCTGTATGCTGGTAAGGGAAGACTGGTTCCCTGGGGGGTTTCTCCAGTTCTCTCTCACCCAGATTATTTTCCTGTCGTGCATGCCTGCTAAGTCACTTCAGCTGTGTCTGACTCTGTGCGACCCTATGAACGGTAGCCCTCCAGGCTCCTCTGTCCTTGGGATTCTCCAGGCAAGAACAGTGGAGCGGGTTGCCAGGCCCTCCTCCAGGGGATCTTCCTCACCCAGGGATTTTCCCAACCTGTGTCTCCTGTGTCTCCTGCATTGACAGGTAGGTTCTTTATCACTAATGCCACCTGGGAAGCCCATTTTCCTGCTAAGCAGGTCCAA